GGTAAGTACGAACTTTCTAAGTTACGCTTTTGGCTAAGTCAATTTGATCTTTATACTTGCAATTTTGATGATAATAAGAAGCAAAACGACACGGCTGATAGTTTTTAAGACACATTTTTTGCAAAATGTATAACCGACATAAATTTATGAAAATGAAATAAATGTATTAAATGCACTATCATATATATAGGTATATATATACATATATATATATATATATATATATATACACGAGATAAACTCTAAATATGAAAATATGACAACATTGATTTAATGTAATATATCGATCTATATTTATATTTATTTACTCATTTATCTTCAAATTGCATTCCATAGAAACTTATTTATTTACTTAATAATTCATCTATGTACATAGTTCATATTTCATGAGCATTAGATAAAGGCACAAAGCCCATGATGTAGACAGTCAATAGTTACATGAAAGAGTCCTCCTACTTCTCCTAGCCATCCATCACGTACTATACAAATTCAATTTACATACAAACTGCCAACCAGAAGAGACAGTCTAACAAATACTAGTACACGTATGTACTGTACAGGTATATAAATAAAAAAAAACATTATATTACAAAAATGCACTTTGTTAATTATTTTCACAAAAGGTTATTGTATAAAAATAAATGAAATTATATATATATATATATATATATATATATATATATATATATATATATACACACACAATACAGCTAAAAACATTGTAAGGTAGGTGTCAATGTGATTTTTGCAAACGGCTATACATAGTTTGTTGTTTTCAACAAAACACACACACGTACATTCTCCCTTATACACACACATACGTACACACACACACACATACGTACACACACACACACATACGTACGTACACACACACACACACACACACACACACACACACACACACACACACACACACACACACACACACACACACACACAATGATATTAAGAGTAGAGTTCAGCAAATGATTAACCGTAAAATATTGTATTGTAATAACTAACAATAAGACGACACAAAACGTAACTAAAAATCTCATTCAGGCTGCTGCTGTTGTGTTTTTATCTCTGTTAACCTACGTACAGATGTTTCGAGTAGATAGTTTAGTAAAGTTTTTATACATGAAAAAATGTGCCTTTGCAATTTATAATATTTAAAGAAGCATCCAAATAAAATTTGCAATACTACTTGCATAATGCCGACGAATTTGAAGATGCATAAAATATCTTTCGTGCGTTTCATAAGCATGATAGTGCATTGGACGAATTTTTTTTACAACAGCTCATCTTATATATTGCTCAGCTGAATTATTAAACATTGGTTAATAATTCTATAAAGAATTAAGCAGAAAACATTAATTTTCAAAGGAACTACATACCGTAAATTGATTTAACCATCCGTAAGTAAATATTAAAATGAGAATAATTTGAGATTAAACCAAAGTATCTTTTGCATATTAAAACAATGATTGATGTACAATTTTAAGACCTGATGAAATTTTTTTTTCAGTCAGTTAGTTATGTAATGTGAGTGTTTCTTTTAAATTTTGGAGTTTATGTGCAATGTAGATGGTATAGTATTAATTGGATAGCTGATGATGTCTGTTTTAAGGCATGTTGAAAAATTATTGTGTGAAAAGCTATTAGATAGATATTCTTGTATGTGTGCATATTGTTTTATGTGTATTTATTGGGTATATAGGTATAGTTTGAGCGTATTGTGTGTGTGCGTATGTGTGTGGTGTGAATATACAAGTGTTCATTACAAACAAACAAATATAAAAGATTAATAAAATAATCAAAAAAATGTATTAAAAAAAATTAGAAGAAAAAAAATCATGGATTCAATGATGAATGTGAGTGAAGATAATAACATTTCAATCGGCGAAATTTATGATGAAGATGATGTATGTATGGATGGAACATGCTGGAATAGAAAATCAAACAACATGTATTATTATTACTATTAATTTATTATTAAATTGAATTGGAAGATGTGACTTGATGACTGACTGACTGAATAATGATGAGGGTGACAGATGATGATGATGGCGGGAAATGAATGATGAAACATTAATAACATCGACAATGATGACGCTTACGATAAAAAAAACCTGACATCCAATATCTGAGATAGTTTGAAGACGAAAATAAAAGAGAAAAATGTAATTAATAAGTGACAATAGATTGAGAACATCTGTTTTAACCTAGCAAAGAAAAAAAATTTTTAAAGTAACGAAAATAAAACCAGCAAAGTAAATGTTATTGCGTGCAAGCTTTCAAATGTTTTTCTTTACTGTGAGGATATGACAAAACTCCAAAAAACAAACAAAAAGCTGAAAACTTATTTACCGATAACTAATTCAATTATAAAAACTTATCGTTCAGTTTAGACTACATGAGAATAAATGAATGAGATAAAGTAGTAAGACTACAAATGTGAATGGCTAAGAGGCAAAAATACTTCTTTCTTATTTTATCAAAATTATTTTTACGATCATTATTAAAACCTACAGAAAATAATTTTTCCGCAAAACGATGCCAGCCAATGAAAGGGCTCCGTGATCAATCTACGTAAACAAGTTCATCAAATTTCCAAAATAACAATAATAAGAAGAAGAAAAATAAGAATAATAATAAGAGCAGGTAATCATCCTGTTGAGTGCAGTGCAGTCATCATATTTATCTCATGCAGCAGTAGACCATAAGATTATTTTAAATACAACATTTTTCTCACGTTAATAATTGCGTGTGTGCGCACCACACACACACGCACACGCACACGCACAAACAGACACGCACGCATACACACACAAACATACATACACAACTTTGATAAAAGGATGAAAAAATATATGGCATCCTATTCATTCACATTCTCCTTATCTTATAAAAATTTATATATAATTAATATAATTAGAATTTTGAAAATGTTGAATCTATGCAACAAAATAATTGACTGACAAGAGAATGCGTGGCAATCGCATATATGCGTGTGTATAAATGTATATATGCATGTGTGCGTGTGTATGTGTGTGAGTGTACGTTCACGTATGTGTATTTGTACATGTTGTGATATATGCAGGACATATACAAAAAACTGAATGAAAAAATTAAACAAAAGACGCATGGCACAACAGAATGACAAAAAGACAGAAAGATGGATGGATGAATGGATAAATAGATAGATAGATAAATAGATAGATAGATAAATAGATAGATAGATAGATAGATAGATAGATAGATAGATAGATAGATAGATAGATAGATAGATAGATAGATAGATAGATAGATAGATAGATAAATAAATAGATAGATAGGTAATATATAAATATGTATATGTATAAATATGTATCGGTGTGTGAATGTATAAGTGCGAAATAAATGTAATTAACTGAAGTTATAAACGGTCTTATGATGTTATGGTACTACCAACATTTTTTAACCGATAAAAAAATAACTGGTGATCCAAACAAAGATACTAAATAATTATTTACTCAAAGGGGAAATTAATCTAGAAGAACAAGAAAAAAAAATCATTTTTAACTTTTTTAAATTAAATTTATTAAATAGTAATCAAATGATCAAATTTTGCTAAAAGAACAAACTGCAAGAGAAACTTTATAGAAAAAATTTTCCCCAAAATTTTTGATAAATGAATAAAATTTAAGATATTAGAAATACATATAACAAAAATCAATTTTTGTAAAATGACGTCATCATCATCATCATCCTTTCCTCCTCCTCATCATTTCCTCATCACAATCGCACCATCATCATCGCTAATGTCAAATCACCATTACCTAAAAAGAAAGTTTCATTGACAGTGCAAGCCGTACACATAGGATCGCACTTTGTACGACCATTCAAATCATCCTATCATCATCAATTAATTAATTAATTAACCAATTAAAAATGAATAACTTAAATTAATTAACAAGTAACATACATATATTTATATAAATTTATTCACAAAGGGTAACTAAAATTAAACAAAATAATCAGAAAAAAGCCGAGTCAAAAATTATATAATTCAGAAATATTATTTATCTTAACAATCATTAACAGCCAGTAGTAATAAAATAAATAAATAAATTAATTATAAAATTTTATGAAATATTATCGTTATTATTATTATTACTATTATTATTGTTAAAACTATCGAGAAATTGATAGTATCAGTAAAACTAACAACAATAACAACGACACAGGAGTTTATTGAAGACCGACCATAGAATTGAAAAAAAACATTAAATTAAATTTATTCAACAAATAAATAAAGTAAATTAATCATTTTATCATCTGTGCGGTTCTCATAATCGTAATCATCATCGTAATCATCATCATCATCTTCATCATCATCATCCTCATCATCGTCATCAACACAATTTTTATCCACAAAGACACCCGACCTACATAACTATAAGGTAAAAATTGTGTACAAAATTGCATAAGTTTATCTCACTGTTACATACATTTATTATACGAAATATACATAAATATACATTCATATACAATACATACAATACATATACAATGCATACATACAATACATACATACATATACAATGCATACATACATACAATACATACATATATATGTATACATACAATACAACATGTATACATATATGTATATACGTGTATATATACGTGTACATTTATATAAATACGTATACATATACCTGACTAATCCCTGCTTTGTTAGTTTAATTTGTCCCGCCATCTTTTGGAAAGTTTTTTCCAAGCATCTATATCTCCAATGATATCAAATTTTTTGTAATATCGAAAAAAACATGGACTAAATAAAAATCTGTTTGTTATTTGATGGATGGATTGATCGATCGATCGATCGATCAATCAACCAATCAATCAGTTAGTCAACCAATCAATCAGTTAGTCAATTGATCAGTCAATCAATCAGTCAATCAATCAGTCAATCAATCAGTCAATCAATCAATCAGTCAATCAATCAGTCAATCAATCAGTCAATCAATCAGTCAATCAATCAATCAATCAATCGGTAGGTTGTTCTTGTACAGCCATGAGAACTTGCTGTGGAAGGATGGATGGATCCGTCAGAATGGACGTACTCTTACTGAGGTTGCATAATGACGTCAGCACATCTGGGGAGGAATCAATCAATCAATCAATCAATCAATCAACTAACGAACTAATAAAACGAAATGAAAAATTTTATAAATTTTATTTCCAGATGTAAAAAAAGGGAGGAAGCAAATAGAAGAGATGAACTTCACGATGAAACGAAGAGGAAAGAAAGTCCAGAGCCTCATTAGATGAATGATTCATTTATTATTATCTGCTAATGAATGAGTCAAGAAAAAAAACATTGACAGAATAGCGGAGGCCGATAGATAAATAAATTTGAAAACCAAAAAAAAATTGGACACGCGCTTTTAACTATTCACACAGCATCGTGAAGAAAATCAATACTGTTATGAAACGTTCGAAATATAAAACATTAAAAAATAGCATTTACTATACAAAATACTTAATGAGTATTATTACAAATACTAGCATTAAAGTTTTTAGTATTATTATCAGTGTCAGTATTGTTATTATTATTTGTATTATTTATACAACCAACAGGGCTTAACAATGAAAAATCACAATAATGATAAAGATATGGATGGAGACACTCCAAAGCTTGTTCAAGTAGAAAGTAAACAAAGAGGATGACGATGAAGATTATGATGAAGATTATGATGAAGAAGATGATGACGACGACACAGATAGCAACCTTTTAAAAATAACCAACTTTCCAAAAAAAAATCGCAAAATAAAAGAAACTATTTTAAAAAATTGAAAAAAAAGTTGATTGATTGGTTGGTTGAAAGATTTCTCAACCGATGGTATGTTAACAATTGTTTTGCGTTTTTCATTAACTTAAAAGGCCATGGTGTTATCCTATTTTAAGGAATATTTATTTGTTTACAAGTTCACCATTCATTTCTTCATTGTTTTCTTTGCTTGACTCATTTAATTATTCAGGTATTAATTAAATGTTTAATTAACTTCATCATTACGTGCGATTTTCTGAATTACTCAAATGAAGCATCAACCTCAACGTTAAAAGGATGATTCTAATTTTGAAGATTAAAAAATGAGTCTTATGATAATAAATACATCCTCTTCCTCATCATCATTCTCATTATCGCACCATCATCGCCAACACACCACAACCACCTCCAGTCCAACCAACCAATCAACCATCCAACCAACCAATCAACCAATCAACCAACCAACCAACCAACCAACCAACCAACCAACAAACCATCCAACCAACCAACCAACCATCCAACCAACCATCCAACCGACCAACCAACCATCCAACCAACCATCCAACCGACCAACCAACCATCCAATCAACTAACCAACCAATCAACCATCCAACCAACCATCCAACCAACCAACCATTCCTCAGTATGGGCAGTGAGCACTTCTGTTCAACCCACTTGAAGATTGTGCTGTGCATCATTTGACGTGATGACGTCATCACATCGTCATTGTATGACGCCAGCCAGGATTTCACTATCAAACTGAACTGAATGGTGAAGAAGGGGGACGGCAAAAATGGTGAATGACGATGATGACGAAGCTGATGAAAAAATAGCGATGAGCCTGACATCACCGACTGGTCGATTTGATGGGCTACAAAACTATCCAGGAAACAAAAGCAGACACATTAATAAATGCACTGAGTGAACCAACTGCAAACAAAACAAACACAACGTTTCCACTGAGATGAAAAAAATTAAGAAACACTAAACCACATATCGGCTATTTCATATCTCCACTGTACCACCATAAAACAACTTTCAACAGATTTCTGACAAGTATAGTGTAGAGTAGGACATACGTCCTATCTCAACTTAAATGATAAAACAAACTTTCTGCCTCTTAAATTTCGATTATCTACATTTAGTCAAGCAATGTAACCGCACTAACAATGTAATAATAACATCAAAGTAATGACACTAACAAAGAAATCACACTAATTAGTTCACTAATGTCTTTAATTACGCTAATAATGTATTGTCGTCGCAAGACTAACAATGTAGAACTTCCAGTTAGTTAGCGTTCGTTCCCTGATATACTCGTCGAAGAGATGTGACAGTTTGTTGGCTCGTTGCTGAGGGCATAGTTCGCTGATGCCATCTGCTGGCAGTTTGTTCTGCATAGTGCTGTTCGTGATGTGTTGTTGGTGTTTGCGATGTTGTTGTTGGCGTTTGCGATGTTGTTGTTGGCGTTTGCGATGTTGTTGTTGCTGGGTGCTGTTGTTAACGATATTCAAATATTATATCGCCAACCAATGCCAATAGCAATACCGGCTTTAAAACGTATTCCTCCATGCATGCAATCCATCCATTCATTCCTCCATGCATGCAATCCAACCAACCTGATATCCATGTTGAGCTGTTCGACTTCCATCCTCTTCCGGCGAATCAACTCTCCATTTTGCTCCCTCTCCTGCTTCAAATTCCTGCAGCACTCGGCAGCTGCAACGCAAACAAACTTATGTAGGACTGGGTCGTATCAAAACAACATCCATAAACAAACAATTCTGAAGCCATCAACAAAACATCGTTTGACCACCACCGAAGTCCAACAACAATAATAACAAACTATTAAAACTCTTAACTGATAATCTAGTAATGTATTGTTATATTGAATGTTCTTTAATGACAGTTTTTTTGGTAAAGAGCAGCAATGTATATACGCTCCAAAAAAAAAGACTGACCTTTAAAAAGGGTGCTTGCCCTGTTAATTTTGCCTGAAGACTGCTGGTTCAGTTCTGGAACTAAGTTGTTCAGAGTCTCAAAACAGTACTGCACATGAAATAATATGTAAAAAATAACAGATATTTTAATTATTTTTCACAATTGAAGTAAAGTGAAAATAAATAAACGAAAAAATGAATAAATAAATAAACAAACAAACAAAGATATAAATTGATTTAATAAAATAATCCACATAAATGTATGATCTACTGACATTGATGTTGCATCTTCTTTGGTGCTCAGCTGAAGTGTGATGCTGTCTTTTTGGGTCCTTCTGCAGCAGTGTTAATATCAGTGTTAACCGTTGCAGAAGAAGCCATAGTAGTAGTAGTAGTAGTAGTAGTAGTAGTAGTAGTAGTAAATAGTAGCAAGAGAATTGTTTTACCCAAACCAATACTACTGTTACTTAATTTAATCTAATCACATCCCCTAAATAATTCAACCCTTCAGCAAAACACTGCTCAAATATTTACATATGCTTGTTTTTCTCTTCATAGAATCCAGATTAATCAAAACTGCTACTACTATTACTACTAACACAGCTACTATTACTACTACTTCTAGAGGCAGTATTCTATATAACGCTACCAAAACGCTGCGGCTACTGCTGTCACCGCCATTACCACAAAAACGTCGCTATTTTCACTACAAAGAGTACATAAGATCTACTAAAAATAAAATTTTCTGCTATGATCAGCACTATTCTACTGTTCATAATGTTGTGGCTAGGGTTACTCGTACCGCATGTATAATTATTACTACTGTTAATAATACTGCCGATGTCAATACTACTATTATTATGACCAATAGATGAGTAGTTATGGATCTACAAGGACATACCAACTTCTTTGCTGCCTTTACTAGCTCTAAACTACCATTCATAACGCGGCCACTACTACTACAACTACTACTACTACTACAACTACTGCAACCAAAAATACTGCTAAAGTAATTACTACAAAAATACTACTAATACTACAATTTGAATACTAACCATGAGTACGTCGTAGTTACTACTGGCCATGGAATCATTGCTTGAATGTCTTGATCGATTCTGTTGTTAAATTTGAAAAATTACGCTCATAACATATGACATATTTAATGTTATGGTAGCAGTAGCAGTAGTAGTGGTAGCAGTTGTAGTAATAGTAGTGGGAATAGCAGCATTAGCAGTAGTAGCAGCAATGGCATTTAAAAAACAATTACAAACACAAGTAAACTGTTACAGAGTTTGACATTCAGATACAAGTTTACATTTCATGGCTGCTAAAATGAAACAAACTATGTTTGCATTTTTGTTAACAATTTCACTATCGGCTAGGCATGCAGGCAGGCAATTTCAATTTGCAATTTTGATTCCAAATCCAAATTAATTCAATAAATAAATAGTTAATTAATTGGGAATGAATGAACAAAAAAATGAATGAACAAAAGAATGAATGAATGAATGAACAAAAAAATGAAGGAAAGAATGAACGAATGAATGAATGAATGATGGGACGAATGAAGACGACAGACTAAAACAAAGTTTCCCAACCAGATGAGAAAAGGGATTGCTGGCAATGTCATGATTGGCAAGAGAGTTAGTGAACCCTGTCATTAGCATCACATTACAAATTGCATTACAATACCATTCAAATCACATTACATTAAAATACAATACAAATCACATTTACATCACTTAACATACCATTACATTAAATTACAATACAATATGTGTAGTTGAGTTAGTAAAATTCCAGACATAACAAATTCATCAGAAAATTCAGTGCAGTTAATATTGCATTTGTTGTGGCATCTCAAAACAAATAATTGCTTAAGAATAACAGAAAAAAATTGTCTTTTAGACATATTTTTAAAAATAACTATTTAAAAATAAAATTTATTATCTATCAAAAGATATTTTTACATTTTTTTTCACCACAAATGATTGCATAGATCCAGTTGTAACTTCAATATTAAAGACAACTATCCTATTTTTTTTTTCAAGTTCACACTAGCATCATATCAATACACATTGAAACAAACGAAAAAATAACACTACAAACATTCAAAAATACACACACACACACACACACACACACACACACACACACACACACACACACGCAAACACACACGCACGCACACACTCACATAAAACACATACACATACAAATAAAGCAAAAAAAGCATAATACAAAAATAATTATCAAGGATTGAGAGAGAACTGGACAAGTTAATTATGCGTGAGTGTTCAGTGAAAAAGGTAAATATACAAAGTACAGGTGCAAGGGTATAATGCATGCCTAAACACACACACCCCACACAGACAAACAAACACACACACGCACAGACGCACACACACACAAACACATCAAAGAACACATCAAAGCATACCAGATGTCAGGAACATAAACAAGCACACATTAATTAAAAAAACTCAAATAATGAAAAATAAATAAGAACTAAAATTCTTTTCTACCTTCCTGGCTGGAATCTGCACTAGTCAGAGTGAAAATGTTTTGATTGATGATGTGTTGTTGTTGTGTTGGTTGGTGATGCAAGACGAGTTGTTGTGGTTGATTCTGTTGTTGCTGTTGCTGGCTTTGTTGCAGAAGTTGCTGAAAAGTTTTAAATTCGTTTGTGAAGATGATTGGATTCGCGTCTTGAATGTTGATGAAACTGGCGGCAGTAGGCGTTGCCTGATCAATCATTTCTCCATTGCTTGTTGAGCTGATGTTGTGGTTGATGTTGAAACTTGTTGCGACATCATCATGATCATCATCAACCTGATTAGCAACAAGACCGTTGATGCTTATTTTATTGTCAGCAGTGGAAGCAGCAACAGTAGCAGCAGCAGCAGCAGCATTCACTTGGAAGTCGCAAAGAAATGTTGAGTTGTCGTTGCTGTTGTCATTGCTGTTTGAGTTGTTGTTGGTGGTGCTTGCGTTGCTGCTGTCCTGAATGACGAGGATGTTGAAGAGCTGTTGGCCGCCAAACAACGGTTGTGGTTGTTGCTGCTGCTGTTGAAACATTAGAATAGGTTGCTGCTGCTGTGGTTGTTGTTGTTGAACAAGCTGAAATTGGACAGGTTGTGGATGTTGTTGGCTCATAAAAATTTGTTGTTGCTGATGTTGTGGTTGATGATATTGTTGTTGTCGTTGTTGTTGCAGAAAGTGAAGTTGCTGTTGCTGATGTGATGACAGATGTTTCATTTGTTCAGGCTGAATAACATGGCATTGTATAGAAGAGTTTTGTTGTTGTGGTGCTAATGTGTGTTGTTGTTGCTGTTGTATAAGATTAATTTGATCAACAGTCTGTGGTAAGGATTGATGCAAGATAAATTGTTGTGTGTGAGTTGGGATCAAGGTCTGCTGTTGCGGCTGTAGTTGTTGTGACACCAAACAACTTGTTGCTGTTTCAAACATCTTGAAAAATGTAACATTGTCAACAGAATTGAAAACTCAGTTAATTTGATCAATTTTTCAAATATATTTATATAGATATATCTCACCATTAATCCTCCAATAAAATTCCCAGCAATAAAGTGAACTCGTATTTTCACAAAAACATCATCTTCAATAAAAATAAGCCATCTTCTTATTCAAATAAAAAAAATCTATTTATCCTAAGGTATAAACATTACTTTGCATATTTGTCACCAAACTTTTAATAAATGAAAAGACGGAATATTGTCGGTTAAACTTCTCAATCTTATGCAACCTTACAATTTTATAATCTTATTAACTCACGTTCTTGTCTTTATTTAGCATCATGTTTAAATGAATTCCCAATTTCCAAATACTAAACACAAACCCACACGCTTTTAAAGAAAATTAAAAATCATAAAATAATTATTCGAACCATGTTTTTATGGATAACTGGCGGATTCATATTAAAAGAAAAACTATTGTTGTTGTTGTTGCTAGTGTCATTGCTGTTAATGTTGTTGCTGTTGTTGAGACTGTCAATATTATTGACATCATATGTGGAGCGTTCGTTAATGTTGCTCGTGTTACTGTCACCAGTGAATGCATTAAAACTGTTTTTGTTGATGTTATGGCTGTTGTTGTTGCTAGTATAGTTGTTGCTATTACGATCACCGTTGTTGTTGCTATTGTTGTAACAAGGAATGTTCGAGAACAGTTTGAAACTTTTGTCGATTTGTTGTTTGCATGACTGACTTTGCTGCTGCTGTTGCTGCCGTAGTCGTTGTTGCTGCAGCCGCTGCTGTTGCAGTTGTAGTCGTTGTTGTTTCTGGTGCTGTTGTATTTGTTGCTGTTGTATTTGTTGCTGGCGTTGTTGATCATCATCATGATCGGAGTTGGAATTATCTGAAGAAAAATTATTTCGACCATCAAACCAAGGACACCATCAAGCTTACGACACAAAGAGTATGGCGATCAAGACTGGAATAAACTTCGCAGAATAATGACGTAACAAAAAAAATGATGAAAAATTAAAAATGATGAGACCACAACAATCATCACCATCATTATCGTCAGCATCATCATCATCCTCACCATAGACATTTTAATTCCTTTCCGGAAAAACAAAGATTAATAATAGCTTAATTAAGGTTACGTTAGGTTGGAATAATGAAATGAACTAGGAATTCTTAACAATATCAATAATAATAAAAAATAACAACAACAACAAAATAACTATAACGAATGTCAACTTAATATGATGAGATAGAATATCATTACCCTGAAG